TTGGTTGGGAAACAAGTTATTCCAGGGTTAATTATCCCATAATTGTTATCCCACCCTCCCATAAGGTCGTTTGGTATTCCTTATCCCTCATACCAAACGACCCTTAACGAGCCCTTAGTTAGGGGTCATTTGGTAGGTGTATGAATAGGGCATATTAATAATGTTGGGATTATTTCTTATCCTGTTTGGTTTGGTATATTAAAAACGGAAAAGGGCCAACAATACCCTTAACATATTGAAAATGGCTCAAAAATACTCTCTGTTAACCTTTTGGTCCGCAAACGCCCCTAACGTTTGTTTTTGGGTTCAACAATACTCCTAACATATTAAAAATGGTTCAAAAATACCATCTGTTAATCTTTTGGTCCGCAAATGCCCCTAACGTTTGTTTTTGGGCTAAAACTTACCCCTATATCTAACAGAACTAGCATGATCAATTTTTTGACTTTAACTTCGCCATGTAGCATTTTCTTAACCCGCCACTTGTATTATTTGTATTAAATAAAACCCACCTGTATCTTTTAAAATATCCAACGACCCTGACCCACTCCTATATATTTGGACGGTCAGCTAAAAATAATTATATTTGCTAGTTAAATATATATAAAAAATATACATTGATTATATATAAAAATATGTATTATTATACATTAATATTTTAATATATATTTACATGATATTATTTTTAGGAGAAATTATACGGTGTAGTTCTATCGTATAATAATATATATATTTACATGATATTATTTCTCCTAAAAATAATATCATGTAAAATATATATTAAAATATCAACGTATAATATACATATTTTTATATATAATCAATGTATATTTTTTATATATTTAACTAGTGAATGTAATTATTTTTATCCGACCGTCCAAATATATAGGAGTGGGTCAGGGTCGTTGAGTATTTTAAAAGATACATGTGGGTTTATTTAATACATATAATATACGTGGTGGATTAAGAAAATGTCACATAGCGAAGTTAAAGTCAAAAAATTGACCAAGTTAGTTCTGTTAGAGATAGGGGTAAGTTTGAGCCCAAAAACAAACGTTAGGGGCATTTGCGGACCAAAAGGTTAACAGAGGGTATTTTTGAACCATTTTCGATACGTTAGGGGTATTGTTGACCCTATTGTTAGATATAGAGGTAAGTTTGAGCCCAAAAACAAACGTTAGGGGCCTTTGCGGACCAAAAGGTTAACGGAGGATATTTTTGAGCCATTTTCAATACGTTAGGGGTATTGTTGGCCCTTTTCCGTATTAAAAATAACATGCATCGCATAGTGGTGTATACATGCTTATCCATATATTAAAAATCATGGCCTTACTAATGTCATGGTTTACTATGTATTAGTTATACATAGAATAATACCAAATAAAGTGTATAACTAATACATATATTAATTATACATAGATAGAAAAATACTACTAAATAAGAGATTAATAATACCAAAATCAATACATGTATTATTTCCCCCTAATACATCCTACCAAACGACCCCTTGCTAACCTCTTTTAATTTGGAAGAAAAACACTTCAATCCATGATCTTGAAAAAGTTTTATACATTTTCAAGTCCAAAGGATTATATGTCATAAACCCAAAACAAAAGAATATATTACCAAAAGGTTCTTTAATTTCCTAATGTCGAAAATATAAATTTAACATTAAACACTGCCAGTGAATTAATTGAAGTAGACTGAAATTATATTTGAGGACCAACATGACATGTTTAATGTTTTTGGACGTTGCTAGATATATTTCGACGCGTCTTAGGAACTTGATATGTTGGTTGTTGAAGCAGCATTAAATTTAAAATTCAACTTTCTTGTACTAATTAAAAAGCATCAATTAAGTGTTATATTACGTGTCATCCCTACAATTCTTTGAAATTTTATTACCCCTTTTCGGCCATATATCTTTGAATTAATAAAAACGGCTAGAGATCAGACTGATGTCCAGTTGGTTTAAAAAGTAAGAATTTATAAATTATAGGACGGTTTTAATTTCTAAGAGGGCAACAATAGAAGCATTGTTATAACAAAGGCTTACAAAATATTAAAAAGACAAAGACATATCTCATATGCTAGTGTAATTCACAAAGTAATAAAAAAGGTTAAGTGGAGACGTATAATTTAACTAAGAATATTTAAGATTAATATACATATTTAAAAAATAATTTGTAACTTATATATTGCTAATTTTCTATATACAATATAATTATTCGAACCACTAATAAAATAGTCGGTTCTAAATCTAACATTGGTACCACTTTTAAAGTTCAAAAGGAGTTTGTTTAGGTTACTTCTATTTCTAACTATTTTGGGATAAATGTTTACCGAAGAAAAGGAAGTGTTTGGATTATAATTGTCTTTTAGAACTTTTATTGTGTGCTAAAGAAAAAACTTTAAAGCGTCTCAAACAAACATAGTTTTTACTTTAGTCTTCGATACAGTAACGATAAAAAAATTATACTTTAGTGGTCAGGCGATCAGCGATATGAATTATCGCTAATCATATTTCTCCTATTTAAATAAATCTCAGGGCACCATAAATAAGCAAAATAATATTAGACCATTGAGCAAACCCATTTGTCCTTTTATCCCTTCATGTAGGGGTGTCATTATTCTTTTTGACAAAATCTGAGGAACACAACATGTTTCTTCTCTTCCACTCAACGAATTTATTGATTTTTTTCTTTTGGGGAAAAAAAATAATCATAAATAGCCTAATTTACAACTGGTAAGCGAAAAATAGCCACAATTTCAAAAGTAATCAAAAATTAGTTATTTTTTTATATAAAGATAAAATCTGAACAAAAATACCCAGCATAATTTGCTGGAAGTTTATACGCAGGAGTTCTATAATCCAATCTAGCATATTATGCTGGAACTTCCTTTTTTCTATATTTCAATTACTTGTGCTATTTTTTAATTATCAATCTGAAACTGACTAGCTTTTGTTTTCACCAAAAAAAAAATCTAAAATATTTGGTGTTGACTGTAGAAGAGTAAAGACCATTTGAAGTGTGGCATACTGTTAGAAGAGCTGGATATAAGTCAATAAAGGGGCCCACGGCCCAATTAAATGTCCATGGACTTTTTTTTACCCGGTCCATTAATTCAAAGGAGGGCAAGCAGACCATGACTTTGCTGAAGGAAAAATAAGGTGATTTTTTTTTTCCAGTAAGCATTTATTACAGTATATTACAGTTGCAGTGAAGTTAGGTAACAGTTAACCTCCAAAAAGTTTAAACACGAAATCAACTGACTCTTCTTGCGTCAAATTTTAGTATTGATTATAATTGCACTACCCCTCTTTTCATGGCATATGTGCTAGTTTAGAATATATATATATATATATATATATATNAAATTTATTTTACCCTGTAACCCTAAGAGTTAACCCAAATAGCCGCTTACATAATTTTTTAAACTATAAATAGACGGCGGATATATAATATATGTATGATTTTTGTATAATATATGTGTAATTGTGTATAATCAATATATAATTTATATATACAGATTACAAAAAATAAACATTGAATCTGACCGGCTGTTTGTTTAACAAGGGATCTTTACACAAATAGCCAGCCAAATTTGTTGTTTTCTTTTTTTAGCCAGTATATACTGATTATACACATGTTGTACATAAATTATATATGTATTATATATCCTCCGACTATTTTTAAGTTAAACGATTGGGTAGATGGCTATTTAAGTTAATGACTATTTGGGTTAATTGTTCATTTTTTACTTCACCCTTGTGAAGATTGAAGGGCCCCATTATCCCCATTAGCAAGCCCAAGGAGTCTTGGGCTGATATTGTAGAACTGTAGAAGGGCAGTGGGTTCAGGTCCTGGACTGTGTACATAGTTTAACAAATGTCCAGAATATGCCATATTTCACTTTATATGATACTATTGTACAACTATTTGAGGAGTTAAACAATATTTTTTCAAACTATAACTTTTCAAGATACTCTTTGAATAGTTATAAATAATACAACGTTTCTATTATTGCTTATGTAATTTCTAGTTATTTAAATTTTACTTTTGAAAGAATATTAAGAAATTAATACTGGATGAGATCAAAATCAGAGTTATTTTTAAGTATAAAATTCATATGTTTTAATGGGAGCTGGCATGGAATATGTGGATTTTTAATTAAACATGTGGTACTGATTTATTAGTCCACATGGATATGAGATCCAATCAGATTGAATGGAACTTAAGTTGCCTCACTACAAATTTATGCTAGTCACACGATTCTGTTAAATGACAAAATATTCTTTTTGGCTCCCAGTTTAGTTATAAAATATTTTTGACAGCATTAAAATAACTAAACGTTACATACTCCAACCTCAATGTTGTTACTTACCCTTATATAGTATCAGATAAATTAATGGGCAAAATACAAAATTGGTCGGTCGGCCAAAACGAATTGTATTCGCTAACCGAAAAGTATAATATATATATATATATATATATATATATATATATTGCATTTGTCCGCTATTATTTTTGGAAGCCACTAAAAATATACCTTTGTCTAAATTACAGTTGTGTTTGAACCATGTGTTTGCTTAATTAGTTTCGTTTTTATTAAATTTGAGTACCCTTTGGTTGTTCCGGGAGATTTTATAAATATTTTATTCTTTTTCTGTTTTGCTCTCATAAGTAACATACCAAAATATGTCTAGATAAGGTAAGAGATAAGTAAGTATAATAATTTTAATTTGATGCAAATATTTACACAATCAGTGTGAATTAATTTCATTCTAACAATTTACCTGTTTTTATTCCCAGTTACTATATCAGATTTAGTGTATAGATTTTCATAATTGAAAAGAACCGTTGCTAATTAATTTCTTTCTCACCATTCACCACTATTTAAGTAGCAACATCTAGCCCATTTTCAGAGAGTTAGACTACAGATAGAGGACTATGTCGTCACAGCAATCACATTACTTAGCCGGAGATTTTCCGGCCACCATGTCTCCGCCATCTACGGCTGTTGTCTACGATCACCACGGCCCACCTGACACCGCCACTAGGTCAAAACTCACCGCTAAATAATTATTTTATACTATCATTATATAAAAGTTAAAGTACTCTATAGATATATTTCTGTTTTATGGAATTAAGTGTAATCTTTTTTATTTAATTAATGCAGACTCACTGAAATTCCGCCGGTGAAGATCACAGAAAACGACGTGTGCGTTAGAATGCTTGCGGCTCCAATTAATCCTGCAGATATCAACAAAATAGAAGGTTCGATATATATTACTAACTATGTTGTTTGGCCATCTTTTAACAAAATTAAAGCATGGAGAAAACGTAACATGTCAACATACAAAAAATAAAAAAATAAAATGTGGCAATAGCTTCATAATGTTATTTAGGGAAAAAGAATAAAAATGTAAAACTTATTTAATGGCTTACGTGGACCACTTCTCACTTTTTTTTAAACACCCCTCCCAAATTAGGATAATGTATAGTGTTTTTACACTTTCCCTCTAGGGTAACTCGAACCCAGGACCTAACGGTCATAGGTGGAGGTGCTTTTACCAATTGAGCAAGCCTCACTTGCCTTTTTTTTTTCTTTTTTTTTTAAAACTCCTCCCAAATTAGGAGAATCTATAGTGTTTCCACACTTCCCCTCCAGCGTGACTCGAACCCAGGACCTAACAGTACCAATTCTCACTAACATTTGAGTGTATGTGGTGTTTTGGGGTGGGGCTGTGGCTGAGGAAAGTTCTTCACTAAGGACTCTCAAAATATAAAGAAGTAAACATACGAAAAAGTTAAGGGGATTCAACATATAGTATATACAGTGGCGGAGCCACCTTATAGGAAGGGGTGTCAAATGACATTATAGGAAGGGGTATCAAATGACACCCCTTCGCGGGAAGAATACACTTGTAGACAATAAATTTGCGTCAAGAAAATAATCGAGACCGAAAATATTACAACAATAATAGTATTTGATTTCAAGTAATATGATTGTACAATCTCTATGAATCCTCACATTCTTCTTTTCAATAGTAAATAAATTCAAGCGCCTTTGAGTTTGATCTTGAATCTATATTTGTTGTCACGAACAATGATCTTGAATTTACTAGCACGAACTTTGATTTGAACTCGTACTCCTCGAATCTTGATTTGTTCTTCGTTCTTGAGCTTGAACTTGATTGCTTAAAGTTTGAAACTTGTAGAAAAATTTACAGCATTTGATCCACGAGCTCTCTCATGCTTCTTGTTATAACTTCTGGTCCCTTTTCTGAGTTATGAATACCCCTATTTATAGTTATGGGAGTGAAGAGTTGTGATGAGAACAAACTCCTTCAGACCAATCAGATTGCAGAGTGATAAAGCCACATTTGATTGGTGAGAACATGTCACTTGCACATGTGGCGCGGTGTCATTGGCCTTTTAATTTATTTTGGCATGCCTTGTCATTTTAACACATGGCATGATCCTATTGGCTCTTCCGTTTGACTTAGCGTGCCACGTCATTTGACACGTGGCACCAAACTGGGTCTCTAGGAAGATGACATATTAGGCCTAATGAAGTGGGCTCATCCTTTGTAGCCCAACTAAACGGGCTAGCCTAGTCAATATTTATTGGACTTAAGTAATTAATCCAATTATATTAGCCCATAATATTTATTTGAGCTAATATATTTAAAATATCCAAATTATTTTATTGAATTTAAATCCAATAAATTTTGCATGCCTACAACACTGTGTAGGTAGGTAAAAATAATAATTTATATGTATATATATTATGTATTGTCTCCCCTTAATTTTTTCCTATGTTTACATTTATATATTTTGACAATCCTTAATGAAAATTCTAGCTCTGCCGCTGAGTATATATATATATATATATTTAAAAAAATTATAAAGCCTCAACTTAAAATATTGGTGGATTTATGGACTTCAACTTGAAGACTGACAAACTTAATGATTTGACGGATTTAAAGATTTGGGCGGACTATGACGTGTCAACTTGAAGAGCGGTGGACTTTAAACTTCAACTTGAAGAATTAACAGACTTGTAGACTTCAACTTAAAGGCTTGGAAGGCTTAAACAACTCAATTTGAAGAGTGGCGAACTTAAGGACTTCAACTTGAAGATCGGTGGACTTGAAGAGTTGGAGGGCTTGAATACCTCAACTTAAAGACTAACAGACTTGTAGACTTCAACTTGAAGGGAGGTGGACTTGAAAACTTCAACTTGAAGAACTAGCGGATCTGAAAATTTTAACTAGAAGATCGGTCGTCTTGAAGACTTGGTGGGTTTGTAGACTTCAACTTGGAGGCTTGACAAATTCGAAGACTTCAAAAAAGACTTGGAGTAATTAAACACTTCAACTTGAAGACCAAAAACTTGAAGGTTTGGCGAACTTGAAGACATAGCGAATCTCCAAACTTCAATGTAAATAATTGGCATCCTCATAAAATCGTCCCATTGAAGTACCAATTTACTATGAAGGCTTGCCCTCTTTAATAATGGGATCCAAAATTCAACAGAAGAATGATGTTTTAGCTCGATTTTCAAGTATTGATTGCATGGATTACATTTCGTCATACTTCACTTGAACAACAATTGGGGCAATATGTATATTTTGAACTTATTCGACTGAACTCAAAATGAAACTCTAAGCTGCCTACGTACTACGGTGAAGATGATCAAGTTCAGAATGGGTGAGTGTTTTTTATTTAATAGTCCTAACTTTTGCCTAGGCCGCCTCTTTCGAGGTTTTCAACCTAGCAGACTTCTTTTTTTTTTAATTTGCTAAACTTTTGCCCAGGCCGCCTCTTTCGAGCTTTTCAACCCAACGGACTTTTTTTGGGTCGTACACAATTTATACTCTTGCGGGTCAGAAGTAACATGCAGTTTATGCTCGTGTGTTAAGTAGCATAGCGACTTGCAATTTAAGCTCGTGTTCTGAGGAGCTTTGCAACTTGAAGATTTTGCTCGAATTTGAAAAGCTTTATGGCCTGAATTTTAGGCTCGTGCGTCCGGAGCGTTGTAATTTAAAGATTTAGCTTACAATTCGAAATGTTTCATAACTTCAAGACTTGCTCAATTTTGAAGAGTTTTGCAACTTGAAGTTCCACTCGAATTTGAAGAGCTTCGTGACTTGAAGATTTAGCTTAAAGTTGAAGAGCTTTGCAACTTTAACGCTTTGCTCAAATTTTAAGAGTTTTATAACTTGAAGACTTTGCCGAATTTTAACATCTTGAAGTTTGGCTCGAATTTAAAAAACTTTGTGATTTGAAGTCCTTGTTCACCTTTGAAGATCTTTAGACTTGAGTCTTTGCTCGTATTTGAAGAGCTTTGCGACTTAAACACTTTACCCAAATTTGAAGAGCTCTACAACTGGAAGACTTTGCTCGAATTCGAAGAGCTTTATGCCTTAAAGATTTAGTTCAAAATTAGAGAGTTTCGTGACATACAATATATACCCATATACTAAGAAGCATTATAACTTGCAGTTTAGGCTCATGCGTTAAGGAGCATTGCAACATGCAGTTTAGGCTCGTGTATTGAGGAGCATTATAACTTGCAGTTTAGGCTCGTGCGTTAAGGAGCGTTACGACTTGCAGTTTAGGCTCATGCGTCAAGGAGCATTTCAACATGCATGGAATTTTCAGTTTCATCTTCGGATGAATACTAGCCCTCATTCTCAGCATCGTGTGCTTCTATTTCATCATGCGGTTCAAAGCCAAGAAACCTTTGATCTCCATTTGTAGCCATACTCAATTCTATATCATGCGCACGAGTTGCTAGTTCTTCAAATATTTTGGGCTTTATGCCTTGTAAGATATAGCGAAGACTCTAATGCATGCCTTGAATGCACATTTCGATGCCAGAAATTTTCCTAAGGTGATCTTTGCAGTTGAGGCTTAAGTTCCTCCGGCGATTGATAAAGTCAATAACTGGCTCATCCTTTCCTTGATGAGTGTTTGTAAGTTCGATCATGATTACGATGTGTATTGTGCTATAAAAATGATTGAAAAACTCTTGTTCCAACTGCTCTCAATAATCAATAGAACCAGGTTCGAGATCTGTGTACCAATCGAATGCATAAGTCCCAGTGTTGTTACATGTCTCGACGAAATGCATCACATGTTGCTTGGGATTTTCTTTTCCATAAAATTGTTGAAGCTTTGGAGGTTGATATCCAGTAGGCATCTTCAAGTTATCAATCTGTTGTGTGTATTACTTTGCATATGTGAGGGAAGATTTAATCGAATGATCAATTTTATCTTTAATTGTCCCCATGATGAAGTCCTTCAATTGATCAACATGAATTAGACCTTCTAAAGAAACTTGGATCTCTTTGCCCACGATTGTTTGCCTCGCAGAGAATTCTCCATCTTCTTTATCTTCGGAAAGCTCTACAAGTGCTTGAATTGATATTGCTTCTGCTAAGCTCTCGATCTCACTTGCTAACTTTTCGAGGCGAGTATCTCGATCCTTCATATACTTGGCCAACTTCTCAAGTGCTTTGGTCAAATTTGCAAGTTGTTTTTCCATCATCGAATTGTTAGATCTTGTTCTTGAACATAGAAAAGAAGAGATGGGAGGTAGAGATGGTCCCACTGGGTGTTCCAGAATTTGTAGACAATAAATTTGCGTCAAGAAAATAATCGAGACCGAAAATATTACAATAATCGTAGTATTTGATTTCAAGTAATATGAGTGTACAATCTCTATCAATCCTCTAATTCTTCTTTTCAATAGTAAATAAATTCAAGCGCCTTTGAGATTGATCTTGAATCTATATTTGTTGTCACGAACGATGATCTTGAATTTACTAGCACGAACTTTGATTTGAACTCGTACTTCTCGAATCTTGATTTGTTCTTCGTTCTTGAGCTTGAACTTGATTTCTTGAACTTGAACTTGATTGCTTAAAGCTTGAAACTTGTAGAGAAATTTACAGCGTTTGATTCACGAGCTCTCTCTTGCTTCTTGTTATAACTTCTAGTCCATTTTTTGAGTTATGAATACCCTTATTTATAGTTGTGGGAGGGAAGAGTTGTGATGAACTCCTTCAGACCAATCAGATTGCAGAGTGACAAAGCCACATTTGATTGGTCAGAACATGTCACTTGCACATGTGGCGCGGTTTCATTAGCCTTTTAATTTATCTTGGCATGACTTGTCATTTTGACACATGGCATGATCCTATTGGCTCTTCCGTTTGACTTGGCGTGCCACATCATTTGACACGTGACACCAAGCTGGGCCTCTAGGAAGATGACATATTGAGCCTAATGAAGTGGACTCATCATTCGTGGACCAACTAAATGGGCTAGCCTAGTCAATATTTATTGGATTTAAGTAATTAATCCAATTATATTAGCCCATAATATTTATTTGAACTAATATATTTAAAATATCCAAATTATTTTATTGAATTTAAATCCAATAAATTTTGCATGCCTACAACACTGTGTAGGTAGGTAAAAATAATAATTTGTATGTATATACAATGTATTGACTCCCCTTAATTTTCTGGTATGTTACTTTTATATATTTTAACACCCCTTAATAAAAAATTTTGCTCCGCCACTGAGTATATATACATATTAAAAAAATTTAACCTCTCTACACGGTGTAATTTTTTATGAAGGGGTGTCAAATTAACACCCCTTCTATAGAAGTAGCTCCGACAAGGGGGGTGGAGGGGGGTTCAAATTATTTTTTTTCTGCCTTTAAAGTGGGATTAGAAAGGACAAGAAAAGAAAAAAATAAGGAAAGTCAAAGCGTGATCTATTTTTATTTGGAGCTTAAGTTTTATACATTGAAGATTTGAAAAATATTTTATATTTATATAATCAGATTATTTGTAAAATAACTATATATGCATGATAAACATTAATTGATCACTAGTTGGATTTTGAAGTAATATCTAAGAGTTTTTATTCTGCAGCAAATCTTTTTGTTTTATTATAATCTCAGGGTCTGGCATTTAAAATAGGATTTGACTCGATATTTTGTTGGGATAGCATTAATTAAGTACGTATTGGATCGGATTCTGTTCCGAGTAATATATTTCGGTCTATTTTAATTGATTTTTTTTATTGTTTTCACGTATATTAAGGAATTTATCTTTTAACATTAATTAATAATAAAATTAATCATATTAATCTTAATTTATTCCTTAAAATATAAGAAAAAACTCTTAGGCTCTTTACTTCAACGGTAACTTTGAAAAAAAGAAATTAATTACTTCTTGATATCTAAAAAAATTAAATATTATGGACTACAAAAAAATGGCCAAAAAAACCAACTAAAGTGGACTAGAGAGAATAGTATTTAATCTTAATGGCGCTCGGGACGAATTGACTCATCACATTTTGCTTTTATTCTTTACTCTTTTAGTCTCTTTTTCTATCCCTATTTACTATTTAGTATTAAATAGTTTCTGAATATTATTAGAATAATATATACTTCTTAAATTTTGCTGAATAATTAATTGATCAACAGGAGTATATCCAGACCAGTCACCACTACCAATAATTGGTGGAGGGGAAGGGGTGGGAATTATACATTCTGTTGGCTATGCTGTTAAGGCTCTTTCACCTGGAGATTTGGTTATCCGTTTCCCTTATATTCAAGGTAATATTTTATGTGTCTTATAATTACCATATTTTACAGATTCATTACTCTGGTAAAAAAATTATTCAGACAAAACCAATAAATACACCACATATATTTGGATGTAGACTTCTCTTGCTTAATCATTATTATCTATGCGTAACACAAGTCTATAGTGAATTGTTTCTACATTGCATCAGGATGTAAGATCGACGCAGCTTCTATATACTGACGGTATAAAAAATTTATGTACTATCAAATAATATTAAAAATTGTAGCAACAAAAAATTGTCTATAATAAGGGTAATTAATAACTCTTAAATAAAGTAGACGATCAGCTACAAAACGTTAAATTACAATGTGATAACTGTAAAAATTCTTTGCATGATCAGTATATATAAGTTAAATGCGATAATTAATTAATGTTGTAGCTTTATGTTGTGCTCAGGGTCATGGCAAACCTACATTGTACAAGAAGAAAGTATGTGGCACAAAATTGATAAAAGCACGCCAATAGAATATGCTGCCACTGTTTCTGTAAATCCAGTGAGCGCCTTGAGAATGCTCGATGAGTTTGTTACTTTAAAACCAGGTTAATTTGTCAAATCTCTTTAATTAATTACTTAGTGTTTTATTGTTTAATTCCCTCTCTTTTTTTACTCATTAATTTGTGTGTTTAATTTCCATAAATAGGAGACTCGATTGTGCAAAATGGAGCCACAAGTATTACGGGGCAATGTATTATTCAGCTAGCTCGACTTCGTGGAATTTATAGCATTAATATCATCAGAGATAAGCCAGGATCTGATGAAGTTAAAGAAAAATTAAAGAAAATTGGTGCTGATAAGGTGTTTACTGAGAAAGAGTTGAATGTCAAACGTGTCAAAAGTCTCCTGGTATTATTATACTAAAACTCATTTAATTTTCGTTTTTGATTGCATGTGAGTTGATAATTTTCTCGCACGGTCACTGTATTTTAGCCATTAAAAATCACAAAAAATTGTATTCACTAACAATAAAGTTACTATTCCCATCGGTCCATTTTAATTAATTATTTTAGCTGTTTTAACACATATTAAATATTTTATATTTTTGCATTAATTAACAATAAAAATGACCATATTAACCTTAATTTGTTCATTAAAAATATAACAAATACTCATCGGCTCTTTATTCCAAGGGCAACTTTGGAAAAAAGAAATTAATTCTCTTGATATCTGAAAAAATCAAATATTATGGACCACAAGAAAAATACCAAAAAAATAATTAAAATGGACCGGAGGGAGTAAAATTTATCCACGATGACAGGGAAAAGGGGCAGCTCGGTGCACAAAGCATCTCGCGTTCACGCAGGATGCGGGGAAGGACCGCACCCCAAGGTGATGTGATGTTGGAAGCATATATTCTGATGCAAACATCAGTGGCTGATTACATGGCTCGAACTCGTGACCTATAGGTTACATGAAAATAAACTTTACCGTTGCTCCAAAACTCTCTTTCTTATCCACTATGATGGTATATTCAAAAACTACTATAACGATAAGTTATATTAGTTAAATTATGTATTTCTTTAATGTAATAGAAAATAATATTACAATGTTACTAGTATATTGGATTTAACTTAGTGATCATATGCGAAATTAACCTTACGTTTCAAGGATGATAATTGATTACAATTAACTTCTAGTTTTTTGTTGCATGATCTAGGGTGATATATCTGAACCTATTTTGGGTTTGAACTGTGTTGGTGGCAATGCTGCTACTTTGGTCGTCAAATTCTTGAAGTAAGACAGCTATTTTCAATTTAATTTTCTTCTTAAGTTAAAGTATTCAGCTTTCAATTATAAGTGATTAATTATAATTAACTTCTCACTGCATGTTCTTTCCAGGCAAGGTGGTACTATGGTTACATACGGAGGGATGTCGAAAGAGCCAGTTACTGTATCTACTTCATATTTCGTATTCAAGGTTAGTTTCAAACAGAGAAATGGGACTATTAATAAACATTAATTATTTTTTATTGTTATATAATTGGATTAGAGAAAGAATGCCAGATATTTAATGGGATTTTTGTTGAAGGATATTACGTTGAAAGGATTCTGGTTACAAGAATGGAAATTAGATCAAGCAAAATATAGGGATTGGATCGATTATCTCTTGGCCCTAGCTCGTGTTGGAAAACTGAAATATGAGTAAGTTCTTTTTTACTTGTTCTTTATATTCCCAAGTCATATGCACGTGAAAGGATAGTTTGGACTGTGAAGCATATTAATAAGAAGTAAACTCCTTAATTTTAATTTGTATGGTTAAGAAATAAAGAAAAACTCTTAAGTTTGTGATCTAAAAAATGTCACATATTTATGTACCATAAAATTTTTAAAAATTATGATTTTAAACATGTCATATTATTTGTATGGACTGTAAAAACTTTTCATTAAAGAAATATTAAAACAATATCATTATTTTTAAAATGGGCTAAGAAAAAAATAATATAAAATAAAATGCAACCAAGGAAGTACATTTTAGTTAATACTATACTAAAGGCCAAGGGTCAGCAAAAGTAGAGAATTAGACTAAAAAGGTTGGAGAGGCGATGGTAGATGAAAAAACATTAAGCAAAAGGAGTACAAAAACATTTATCAGTCATTTGGAACAAGATAATACATTTTTCGGTGCCAAACATTAGTTCGTTTTAACAAATTGAATGTGTCTCTAAATATTTGATATGTTAGAAAATAAGAAGCCATTAAATAATGTTTTTATAAATCTAATAATTCCAATAAGTGGAATATTAATTATGTGAGACATTTGACGAGAGGTACTCCCTCCTATCCATAACAAGTGACTTTTTGGCCTTTTTATTTTAATTCAAAATAAGTATCATTTTTACATAATCAAGAATGAATTAACTTTAATTTGTCAAATTTGCCCTTATTTACGAATCTCAATGTGTCAAGTTAACAATATACAAATTTTAATTAAGGGTAATATAATCAAATTTTTTTTTTTTAGGAGTTAGAATTTTCTTAAGGGGTGTACCAAAGACAAAAAAGTCACTTATTGTGGACCGGAGGGAGTAAATACTCCATCCGTTCACTTTTACTTGTCGACTATGGACTTTGCACACCTCTTAAGAAATAATAAATGAAGTACATAATTTATCATGATACCCATATTAATTGGTGCATATTTTTAATAGATTTGAGAGAATGATTTGAAATGAGTAATTAATACGGTGGGTATAACAGGAAAAAAAAAATTGTCTTCTCTTAATATGCTAAAAGTTACAAGTAAATATGAAAATCTATTTTTAGAATACTGGACAAGTAAAAGTAAATAGAGGGAGTATTAGTTTAGACTAAATACTCGTATGATTTAATTTATTATGTAATCCTTCATGTCCATTTTAATGGAATATTTTCACACATATTAAGGAACTCATCTTGTAGTATTAATTAATAATAAAATTGACAATATTAATCTTAATTTGTTCATTAAAAATATAACAAATACTCCTAGGTTCTTTACTCCAAGGTAACTTTGGAAAAAAGAAATTAATTTCTATTTGATATACGAAAAAAATTAAATATCGTGAACTATAAAAAAAATTACAAAAATCAATTAAAGTGGGGACAAAAAAGAATATTTTATAAGGGTGCATAGAGATCTTAAAAGACAAATAATATGAATGTGACGTTATAAACTGCAATGGGTTGGAACTCTGATACTTCGCAAGCGAGAAAATGGGGGATCATTGTTTAGTGGGGGACATAAAAATTGTGAAATTTCAGAAAAAAATAAAAAAGAATTTGAGTGAAAATGATATTTGAAAATCAGAGTTGTGTTTGAGCATGAATATATGTTTTGAATTTTTTGTGACTGATTTGAAGTGAAAATTTTGAAAAAATAGCTTTTTGAAGTTTTTCAAATTTTCGAAAAATTCTGAAATTCAACTTTAAGTGAAATTAGAATTTTTATTGCCAAATACTGAATCCCAAAAAAGTAATTAAAAAAAATCGAAAAAAGTAAAAAAATAAATTATGGCCAAACGGGCCCTTAATAAATCTAAACATTTTGAATGATTGTACAACTACCACGAGTAAACAGAACCCCTGAGAAAGGAAACGTGTGAATTGTTTGGTGATAGTAAAGTGACCTGAGAAAGAGACAGCTATTAATATATTATTATGTCGAATATTTTCCTTCTCTTTTTTGTTTTTATTTTTTTGGGTTGGGGGTAGGTGAGTCTGTAGCTGTACTAATAATTCTCTTAAATATAAAGCAAAATATCATTATCTTGACAGTGTACTGATGTTGGTCTATTCTCATACAGGATGGAGATGGTACCTTTTAATGATTTTTATATAGCTCTTGGAAAATCAATGGGAAAACAAGGAAGTCGAGGGAAACAAGTCCTTAAATTCTAAGCCATGGGAAATGTAATTTTATTGTCAAAGTATTGCAACAATTAGTTTGGAGAATAGATTCACTAGTATGGAGTCCAGTTTATTCGTAACTAGAAGTCTCAGGTTTGCGCTCTTGGTATGAAGTTGTTTTTGTTAGCGAACACTTTACTCTCAAATATAAGACGTTCCGGCGCGAATCTAGATTTAGTCAGAATCCAATTTGAATATCGGACACTAGACAGAAAATCAAAAAAAAAAAAAAAAAAAAAAAAAAAAAAATAGATTCACTAGTTTTGAGATATATTTTCAAGTTAAATTATCGGATATTCTTCTCAATTTCACATGTTGTGATGCTGTATTTTTCAGAAGCTTTCGTGTTTGGATGTTTTTTCTTCTTTTTTTTTTTTTCTTTTTTTTTCCTTTAACGGTGCCATCATTTTAAACAATTTTCAACCATTTCTTGAAATAAATGTGCAGAGTGGAAACTTTAATGTTGGTCCTTTGCGAAGATTGCTGATGTAATCAATACAGTAAAGGAGAATAACCTACACAATAAAGAAGAAAAATTAAGCATTAAATAGGGATGGATCGTATTATTTGTTTATATCCACGCAATTCAATCCATTGTTAATGCCGCATAACAATAGGTACAAATTACAAGCAAACAATATATAAGGAAATCAAATATAAAATAAAAGCATATAGGATTCTTATTGGTTAAGATAGTCTCTATCTCGGATTCTACTTCGTTTCACTTGCAAGAGATACAGTGCTATAACTACAAAGTAAGAGAATCTGTAACCCTCGAGAAGTTATACTAAATCCCGCTTTATTCCGGATTGAATGATTCTCCTATTTTTCATAATTATGTGTCTTCTAGACAGATCTTCTGTATTGACCCTTAAATGATTACAGAATAATTAAACGATACTGGTATTGATAATAACGGTACAAACGATACCGATGTTAAATAACTCTCAACTTGATTGATTTTGGACTCATTTATTCTGTAATTTTCTAATATTCTTGACATGTGTCGAGATTTAATTAGCCCACGTAGTAAATCTATTTTTCACGAATACAATAATAATGCAAAAGAATTAAAAAGTAAGTATTTTGAGACAAAATTATATAAAGTATAAATTTTTCTTATTTTAAGAAATATGAATAAATTTAGGGATAATTAGAAAATAAAAATAAATACAATCACCAATATTCTCGTGTATGTCGCGATATGAGCAATGCAATGGTGGTAGGCAAAAATAATAACAAAAAATAAATAAAAAGAAGAAGTCGTAGTACGAGGAATACGGACACGTGGACCAATCATAGAGAAAGGTATTACGGGCGGTTGGTGAAGCAAACTACGGTGATTAAAGTGGTGGCAGGGGTAGGTACATAGGTGGTCTATCGGAAGGAGGCAATATTAAATTTTGTTTTAGTTGTTTTTTCTTTAAACTCGCGATATAAAATAAGAGTAGTTGCTAATGAAGACATATTAGACTTTTCAAATGTTAAAGAATGTGACTTTAAGGTGTTGATTAGTTTAAATTTAATGGTACTCATACCTCATTTATTTTGACAAAAACTTAAATTTACTAAGTCTTTAAATATATAAAACAAATCAAAATGCAATTTAAACGAGTTTTAGTATCTGTTTTCAATTTTACATGGGTTTTTTTTTCTGTTCTTGTGTTTCCCATATTATTTCTTCCAATGAGAGAAAAAAGGGTAAATAACTTGAATTGGTGATATTTTGCTTATAATTCGGGCTAGAAGAAGAAGAAGAAAAAGGCAAATTAAACCAAGAGGCTTTTACTGAATGAGATGAACGATATTCCTCAACTTTTAATGGAAAGTTTTGATTTCGAGATTTAGAAATAGAAAAAATCCTTGGTAAATGGTGTTCCCTTGTGATCATACACGACATGAATCTGAATTATTCAAACCAGTAAATTTCGAATATCAAATAGGTATACCAAAAAAAAATCAAGATCGAAACGAGTGCATGTGCTATATTTTATCTCTCGGTTCAGTTTGAGAAACGATTAAACAGTAAATAATACCAGTATACTACCTACATCCCATTTTCTATGAAAGTGTACTATTTGGACACTTAGCCCTGTTTGGCCATAGATTTTGTCAATTTTTTTAAATTTTTTTTGGCAAATACCTGTTTGTTTATAAATTTTATTAATATTTTGGCAAATTTTCAAATCCCAAAACTAGCTCAAGAGCTGTTTTTAGTCCAAAATATTACCGTTTGGTTTTAAAAAAGCTTTAAAAATTATCCCAAACTTTTTGGATTTTATAAAAGCGCACTTTTGTTATTTATGACCCAACTAATCCATATCTACTCACGTTTTTCTCATTAACTCATATGGCTTTGCTATTCTCTATAAACAGAAGAAAATCTTCGTCAAAGTTGTTGTGCCAATCTGTGGCAATTCATGGCAAAGACAAAAGTTGAAGGTAATTTGCTAAAATCTGCTAATGTTTATATAAATTTTCTTCAGATTTGTTTCGCTTGTTTTGTTTGAATTTTCTTCAGATTTGTTTCGCTTGTTTTTTATGAATTTTCTTCAGAGTTGTTGGGTATTATTGATTGTTTTAAAACTTATGGGTATAGGTCACATTTCATGTTTTTTTTTTAAAAATAAAATATGTTTTGAAAAATTATGTCCAAACAGATTTTCATCTTCAAACCAAACTTGACCCAAATTAGATTTTTTTAAAATAAATTTGGGAATCTATGGCCAAACGCTAGCTAAGTTTTTTTTTTAACTACAATTTACTCAAACTCTTTTTAAATATTTTAAATTATTTGCTACGATGAGTTATATTCCCTTTTATATAATATGATTTGAAGAATTTATGATTGAGCCACATTTGAATTTATTTGTACTGGGCTTTTCTTATGAGTTTATCGGTCAGTGGCCCATGTAGTTTGAGTGGAATATCATTTTTACCCTTATATATATATACTTTAGGATACAAATATTTCTAAAGGATTGATATATTCTAAAAGAATTAATAAAGATGACTCCCGATTTCTTTCTCTCTCTCTTTTAAACCCTAATTACTTTTCTTCAAATCTCTTGATCTACAAATGTTTACATGGTATCAGAGCGGTCGATCCTGATGAATTTCGTCATTCTCTATCGATCAATATTACCCTCGAGCTGTTCTGGTGGAGTTTTTTATGTGCATCAATTTCTCGGTGTTGCCGCCGTTTGAGTTTTTGCCGATGAGGCTCGTTTTGTTTTTGGATTTTTTGATGTTTTCCTAGTATTCCAGCGAGGAACGATTGATTTTTGGATCCTTCACCATCCACTGGTTCGAAAGTTTCTGCTTTTCTTTTGAATCTTCGTCAGAGCTAGGGCTTCTGTTAAAAGGCCGTATCTTCCGGTTACGAAGAATTTGGGTAACATTCATTTTATTTTCTGCTCATTTTCATCTTCATTACATATATCAAACTGAGGTAGAGTTATACAATCCCTATTTTGGTTGTTTGAATAGTGTTGGTATTAATTCACAAAAATGACTAGTACTACTAGTAATGAGTTTGAATTTACTCCTCTTGCTTCAAGTCCTCTATTCCTTCATCCTAGTGATGTCCCTGGTATATCACTGGTTTGTGTTCCTTTCTCCGGTACTGGATTTGGAGGTTGAAAAAGGAGCATTATCGTGTCTCTTTCAGCTAGAGATAAAATAGCTTTTATCGATGGAACTCTCCCTAGGCCTCCTATTGATTCACCCGAGTGAAAACAGTGGGACAGGGTGAACAACATGGTAATTTCCTGATTGACAAGCTCCCTGTCCCTTGAGATTGCAGAAAGTGTTCAATATTCGGAGACTGCTGAGAGTATTTGAAGGCAATTAAATACTAGGTATGGAACAATTAATGGAACTAAAAAATTTGAAATTAAAAGGGAGTTGGCTTTTACATGTCAAGGGGCTCTTAATATTGCATCTCATTTTTACAAGTTGAAGAAGCTTTGGGATGAACTGACAATCATGTCTTCCAATCATGCAAAAAATTATAATTGTGTTGCTAAGCCTGGTCTGGAGCAGGAAGAAGAAGATAATAGGGTGCATCAATTTCTAATGGGTTTGAAAGAGACATATGTTAATGTTAGGAGCAATATTTTGCTCATGAATCCACTGCCTTCACTTGACAATGTCTATAACATTCTTTTACAACATAAAAAATAAAGACAAGTCATTCCTACTACTCATTTTGGTTATGATATGGCTTCTTTCCATGCAAGTTCCAACAATAAGCCTCCTTCTCAACCAAATATCAACAAACAATACAACCAGAGAGTTAATTTTGATCAATCCAATCAAAGAATGAATCTTGGGTAGCATAAGGGATCTTTATTCTGCAAGTAGTGGAAGAAGAATAACCATACCATTGAGACATGGCACAGGCTGCATGGTTTTCCACAGAATTTTAAATTCATAAAAGGTAGGAAGTATGGTACTGCTGCCAACATTGAATCTTCTAATTCTGGAGTTCCTGATACTCCTACTACCTTTGGATCTGTTGGTCAAGACTCTATGATACCTCGACTGACAAAGGAACAATGCAGTCAACTATGGATGCTTCTACAAAATTCAGCTTTAGACTCTAACTCTCAGATAAATCTTATGGGATCTGCAAACTTTGCTTATAACATATCTACTCTACCTATGTCTGATTGTGATAGCTTTGCTGCATGCATGTTGTATATTGTTGTTAGGAGTGTTTGGATAGTATATTCAGGAGCAACTGACCATATGATATCTAGTAAAGATTTCTGTTTTGACATTAAACCCCTTCTTGTACCCTATTTAGTTTCTTTGCCAAATGGATACAAAGTGAAAGTAACATGCATTGGTTCACTTACTTTGTCTCCTTCCTTTGTTTTGCATCATGTGCTCTATATTCCATCATTTCAATACAATCTCATATCTGTTTATAGGTTGATTCAACAGTTTCACAGTTTTGTCCTTTTCACATCTTGTTTCTGTTTTAT